GTCTGTTTTTTACCAATGAAAATACATTTTTCCCTTTCCCCTGTACGAGATATTTACAATATGTGGGTGGAGATGGAATCTCTGGTTTCTGTCCCATTGCTGTGGAGAGGCCCTGATCCTCTAACGTGTGGAGGAAGAGCTGCTCATCCTAGGGATGCCCTATTGGAGGCTGGCAGGGTGCAGGCATGGCTGGAGTCAGGGCAGGGCTCTGCTAGCACTGCACCTTGTCCTGAGCTCTCCTGCAGACCATGGAACCAGCATTTAGCTGGCATCAGACTGCAGTTTTGGCTGATAAGGTTTAGTGTAAACAAATGCGGGTCTGTGAATTATCTGGCATGAGAATCAGTTAGGGGTGCTGGCTTCCTATAGCCTTAATCTCGTTGGCCTAAATGATTTATAAACTGGCAACATGATAAATGTTCTTTTAAGTGGACAAATCACATTGAAGAGGTGTAACTTTCTGTCAGTAGGTAACATGACCGCTTCTCTTAGAGGAAGAATAACAATCACAAGGAGCAGTAAGGGTAACAGGATCACAAGTAGGCATATTCCTTTTCTGCAGCATAAATCATTAGAAGGGCGCTTCTTTCTTCCCTCTTTGCTTGTCCTTCTTCGTCCTTTCTTCTTTTTTTCCCTTTTGGTACTATTTTCTAGCTCTTCCATATCATTTTTGGAAAGCTAAACCCTCCACTTGATTTGTGCTGCAGTTTCTTCATAAATCTTTGAAGCTTGTCTCCATCAAGCTGTATTTTCCATTAAAATATGGTTCCCAGGTGATTTCCAATACTATGAAAAACATGTAGCCATAAGTCTTTCACTGATTGTTTATTATCTGTTTAGGTGCTCCTGAGGATTTTGACAGCTAGGACTTGTATCATATGTAATGTAATAAAAGTGAATGTCTTCAGCATAACAGGGGTAGCTGGCCCTTCATTTCTGTCTGCCAGGGCTGTATTTGTTTTCAGTGTTTTCAGTATTTTTTATTTTTTTTTTAACATGAAACTTTGGGTCTGCTCCAAATCACATCAGCTTAAACTTTGTGTTTTCTTTGCTATATGGATGAACAAAAGGCAGAAGAAAATCCAAGCAAAACACAACAGAAGCTTTCCTGTTATAAACAGCACAGGAAACAGTAACAACAAAGTTAGTATTTAGTCTGGTGAAGGAATAGTTCTACTTCAGCTGGTTTCCAGTCTGGATACACACTTCTCTGGTTGCAGGAGCTGCAGCAGAACATTGCGTCTGTTTTGTATAAAGTACATCTTTTGCAGTTCTCCTTGGCCTTAAGCTTAGCATTAGGACTACAGGATCAGCCTGTATGTAAGAGCTGATATACGGTAGTAAACCTAGGCAAGAAAGAAAACCTTACCCAAACTCACACAGTGTGTCATGAGTTCAGTTCTTCAACTGCCTAAAGAAATGTTTTGCATTTTCCTTGGCATCTGTGCTGGCCTGTGCAGTGCATTGCAGGGAATCCATAGCTGGCTGGCAGTGGGCTCTGGGTGAGTTTGGCTTAGGAAAGGTTGGCAAGGATGGGCCCTTGGGGGCAAGGAGACTGGCCAGGAGATAGGTGGCCTAGTTTGCATTTGCAGTGGTTGATTTCAATGTCAATCTTGTGTGTTGCCTCATTCTTTTCCTCCATCAGTGTAGCAGGGAAGTATTGATTATTATAGTATACCACTGCAGGGCTTAGGGAGAAAATAACTAATAATTATTAGTAAGATTTGTAATGTAAAGATTGGCTTTGTAGAAGCAAGCAGAATAATCACTGTGGTCCGGGCAACGACCCTGTCTGGACTGCAGTGCCCTTGTAGCATGGAACGTCATCTCCCTGCACTGCAAAGATGTATCCTTACTTTACTTCCCAGTGGTATTCATGGAGTGGCTAAGAAGATTTTATGTAACCTTGGGTTTGCATTGTATCTTCACCAGTTGGACTTCAGAACTGGTTGTCCAATGAGAAGCTGCTGTTTCCTAAATGCTTGGTAAAGCACTTAATTGTGAAAATAACTAGTTTAACTTACAACATCAATTTGAAAAATTACTCATTAATTTTTGAGGTGCAGCCGCCTTCCCTGGAGGACAGAACTACTGATCTCATCGGTACCTAAAACCTTGGCTTTGTTTGCTAGCAGGTGTGTCTGATCTGCAAATGAAATTTGGCTTACCATCTCCATTTCCTTATAAACACCCTTGACTGCACCTTTGGCAGAACACGTGATAATTAAGCAGTTGTGGCTTATACTATGCAGACTGAACAGGGCTGGCAGGGAAGAGTTTGCATGAGTAGCATGCCACACGGAAATACTAGGTTTTCCTCTGCTTTCCACTGGCATTTACTAGCAGGGTAAAGATGAAACCCTTGAAGAGCTGTGTGAGCTTAATGTTGGGTTGTTATCTTATTTGCTCAATATACCCAATTATTTAGGCCTAAATATATCAGTGCAGCTGGTGGACAAACAGTTCAGCATTAACGGAGAGGAGGAATTGAAGAGGGTAAGATCTGAACAAGAACCACTACTTGATAAATGCTTTACCTGCCTACAGGAGTTTCACAGCATCCAGGGCTCATTTAAATTTACTAAATATACAGGATGGTTCAAGTTGCAGGTTTTGTTCTGACCTACAGAGACTGTTAACAGCAGAATTTCATCTGGGGGAAACCCTATCTATCAGTAGACGTGGGAGATGCATTTTTCACCATTTGAAATTAAATATGCTCAATAACTGAAGTAAGTCCAACAACTACAAATTAACTTGTAAATGTATTTTGTTTGCAAAGCAAAAGTCTGTTAGGTCTTTGTTTCCACTGCATATTGGCCGTCACTGTGGTCACATTCCATGCAGACCTCTCTTTCCCTCAAGTGTCATCTTCTGTATAGCTTCTAATTGGCAGGTTTGCCATTCTCCACCCTCAGCCCTGACTATAGGACTCCGTGTCTAAGCTTCAGCTTCCCTTTGTCCAGGGTGTGCAAGGAATGTTCCCAGACACGCTATGTAAATTATTTGGGGTGCCCTGAGCCTTCCAGAAGCCATGGATACAGTGCACAAAGGCTCTTCCTTTCAGTAGCTGATTGGCTTGCAAATATACTCCCAATGTGTTCTGTCATCTTTAGTTTGTAATTTTAGTACCAATTCTCACCTGAAATGAAAACCTCTTAAAGAGCAAAGGCTGGTTCAAATAAAACCCTCTGGGTTATGATCCCTTCATTTAGAGACAAATGACCTGCTCATTAATGCTGTTTGCCTTATAATCAGTCATTAGGCATTTCCGTATTAAGCAGAGAATCCTTTCTGTCTAGTCCTGTAAACTGGCTCAATAGCAATTCACCTTCTTCTGAATCGTGGCAGTTGAAAAAAAAGAAGATTGGGAACATAGAGTTCATTTACTGCCCACTTCAGCATTGGAAGAGGTCTCTTTTTTTTTTTTTTTTTCTTTTTTAGGAAGTGGAGGTGCATAGGCAGGCTATTTTCCTTCCTCAATAAGGACATTGAACTGGAAAATGCCAGTGCCTTATTTCTGATTCTCAAAAAGGATGTCATTCTTAATAGCCCTGCTGTTGTTTTAGGGATTTAGATGACTGAACCTGCCAGTTTGGGAGGAAGGAAAAGCTGTAACTTGCAAGTTATCTTTCTTGCCTTGACATTCTTTTCAGTAGAGGCCTAGAAGCTCCATTTCCACCTATCTTTGTGCATCAGTCTTTCCTGAAGTCTTAAGGACTACGTGGGTTTGGTAGCAACCTGCTCTGTTAAGCCATGTTATATGATGACTTTTGTGATTAAGGTCCTGTGGTGATTTGGCCTGTACTGCTTGTCTCATTTGTTTCAGGAAATTGTCATTCTCAGCTTCCCCATCCCCATATTGTTGTGATCTGCTTCAAGACAGCAGACGTGTGGTCAGAGGGTGCTCCAAGGAGAGCTCTATAGGTGGTTATGAGTATGGACATGGTTACTTGAGATGTATGTGGATATTACCCAATGACAGGTCATAAACACCCTGAGAGGTTTTAGATGAATTCTATGCTATGGACTAATGTATCTGATGGAATAGGATGAATTTCAGCCACTAAACCTTTCCTCCTTGGGCTGGATGCTTTAAAGTAGGATCTGATGCAGGTCATTATCCTTGAACTATCAGTGATGTTGTCAGAGCATGTCATTACATTTTCCTTTAATATCTAGTTTATTCATTTACTGGCACTTCCAAGTCAACCAGTGGTTAATAGGCAATGTTGTGTAAATTGGTTCAAGCTGATTTAATAAATAGCACAGTTTCATTAAAAATTCACAGTCAGTATTGCTGGTGATGACATGCAAAAGCTAGGATCATCACTCTTCCTCTGCATGCACAAAAAAATCAAGAATTTGGTTATAAATTTCCCGAAGATTATAGATTAGATATGCTTTTGTGTGTTTTTTGACCCTGGAGCATGCTTGAGGCTTTTGTGCACTTCTGTGAGCCCTAATGGAGACCTCCTTTGCTTACATGTTAATTGGGGTTCTCAAGCATGCTCACCTGACCAAGAGGTTTGCAGCTTTAATGAAGTTAAACTGACAAAATCCAGGAAGATGCAGTGAAAAATGTGAAATATTACTTTTTTTTTCCCCCTAAAAATTATACCTTCCCTTGGGAAGACCAGCAGAATATTGTCTTCCTTGCCATGGTCCAAGTCAGCTCCCCAGCCCAAGGTGATCTGAGAAATGTGTGGGAAAACTGCGCAGTAGTGAAAAGTTGGCACCAGATGTTTGAAACGTAGGTTTGATGCAGCAAAGGGGTCCATGCTATGGGTGCTGCCACCAGCACGCAGTTTCTTGGACTCCAGGCCAGGTTTAATAAGAATGTACCACAGTCCTGGATTGTGGCAGGACCATAGCTTCCATTGTCAAGGCTTTTACCTTCCCTACGGTAATTATGAAAATTATTTGATGCTGTGAATAATTCAGAGAACTTCAAGATTATTGGGCTGGCTTTTTAATCTTGTGCTTTGTTTTTCTTTTAGATGCATTCATTTTCAAACTTGTGGTTTCCAAATGGCAGCAACCATCATTTCTCTCAGGCTTAACTCAATTAAGGTAAGTCTCATGACACTTCATGTTTTCTTGGTTTGTGTGTAGAAATTGTCTGTCCAGAATAATGCCATTTTCTGCTGAGTGTTTTTGGGTTGCCAAATTTGAAATGTGTTCTCTGTGGTCCTCATCATTTTTCATGCTAGGGTGAAGATTCCTGGTTTGTTCTTTGAATATTTGGTAAAGCAAACAAATAAAACAATGGGAATGAATGTTATGAGGAATTTCCAAGTATTTGCCCATCGCTGGTCTTGCACATCTTCAGCCTGTGCTCAAACAATTGGTCTTACTTTAAGCATTTGTGTTTGGGCAGCTGGATCGTTACTGAACCAAATATCTAACCAAAGGATATGGCCTTCATCAAATTTAATAATGCTTTCAGGACTACAGAAAGAATACAGTTGTCTTTAAAAATCAGGCTATTGAAATGAAAGCTTAACAAACTCAAATTAAATTCTTGCATGTAGAAAACCAGCTGTTCATTGTTTTCCAATAGGAATTAGTAATTTTAACAAAGTACTGCATTTCTTTTGATGCTTTGCAATGGCAGTTATGTTTTTTGGGTGTTTTTTTTCCCTTTGACATGGAGATTAGAATCTGGTCTATATGTTGTAATTAATGGTAAGAGAAGTATACAAATACAAGCATGTCTAAATACGTAAATACAAGTCAGGCTATTAATTCAGAGCCTTGCAACATTTATTAATGTTCTGTGTTATGAGATTAAAGCTATAACTTAGTTATGTGTATTGCATCTCTTTAGCAAGTCGTATATTAACCATAATAATTTTTAGAGGGTGGAGCGTGATTTATTGAACACTGTAAGAAAAAATAAGGTAAATGAGTTAGCTCAGGGTGGGGCAGCAGCAAACTGCTTGTGGAGACTCTTACTCTCCGAGGTGATAGAGGTTAAATGCATTACAGAGCTTATAGGCTCGCTCCCCAGAGAGAATGGGGGCCAGGCATTTCTAGCTGACAAGTCAAGGACACCACATACTTGCCCTCGTTGCTAACGGTAAGATACTGAGCTGATAGCAAGGTTGCTGTGGCAATTTTCAGAGAGAAAAATGGAACACAATAGGTGGCTCCTAATTAGAGAGGAGGGCAATGTGCTGGGACAATCTTAGCATTTCTGAAGGCATAGTGAGTTTGAGATGTGAGCTTGGACTGTTTTTAAAGCCTGAGTGGCCAGGAGGACATTTCAGCTCAAGTTTCTCCCCAAAATAGCACTTTCCACTTGAATCTTCAAAAAGAGATCTTGTGTATCAGACTCTATTCTGGTCCTGCAGCACTGAAACTGATGTGCTTCTAGCAGCTGGCTGTGTAGATGGATTTTCACTCGTGTGTCCACTTCAGATCCCTGGCTTTACTTAGGAGAGATGGAACACATCTGTAGAAACAGGAAGGAGGGATGTGCTGCAGTAATGAAGTGGGTCATCAGTGGGCACGGGCACTTGGTGGTTGAAAGAAGATGTATGGGGGATAGTTAGGTTGCGTGAAGGGAAAGAAAGTTGTAAGGAGATCAGAGTGCAACAGTGAGTGAAGGAAGAATCAAGGTACCCTGAGTAGGTGAACGGAAGTGCAAGGAGTGAAGGGGGAACTGGGGAGGAGCAGCTCCAGTGGATCCTGGTGTCGCAGTTCCACAATTATTTCACATTAAATTCAGGGGAAAGGGGCCTTCTAGCTGGCAGACTGTGAGTAAGATATCCTTGAGGACTGGTCCTGGAGAAACACAGCAAACCAAAGTTGAAATTTGTACTTGCAAAGCTATTACAGTGATAGTTTGTCTCATCAGAAACGGACTCGTTTCTTTAACATCCTTCTAACATTAATTTTCACAAAAGTCCCATGGAAAGGAGAGCTAAGCAGATGGAATATATTGCATGGAGATTTTTCATTCTTTATTGAGAACCAAAATTAAGAAAATTAAGTCATAGACACTGTCCTGAAGAATGTGAAAAGAGGATGAGGACATAATAGATACCATGAGAACGAGAAGGACTTGAAGACCTGCTCCAGGGTGCAGTGTTCTGCTGCAGTGACACAGACCTTGTACCAAAGGGGAGTGAGAAAGCTAAGCTGTGAGTTTTACACGTTGGCTGGAACTGGCGTTCAACCTTACAGCTCAGTAGCAGAGATGTGCAAAACTCTGAAGTGTATCACACTGAAAGTGGAAGGAAATACTCCACTGTTGTAGGTACACCACGCTCACACAGCAACCGAAGGCAATCCCTGCTGCCCTGCCAGGCTGCTGCGTCTCACCAACAGCCTCATGAAAGCGCCCTCTGTAATCTTCCACTGTGAGCTTTGGGCCTCAGCGGATGATAGGACCTTTCGCTGGAGGAGGGAGAGTTGTTTGGAGAATGAAATTTGGTAAACTGCAACCTCCCAGTGAACCTGCTGGGGCTGATTTTCTGCCAGCCCCTGGGAGCAGAGCTGCAGTACTCAGTTCCTGAATCCCGTCAGCTCCCACAGCCTGGAGGGTTCACACTGCTCAGTCTGGCACCTCTTCCCGTGTCAGAACAAGGCATTGTGTGTGTGATTTCAACATGTTTCTGGTTTTGTTCTAACTGCCAAGAAACACTGGTTGTGTTATTATGAAATGATTGAGGAGCATTTGCTCATACAAATTTGTTTTAAGAGTTTAGTAATTAAATGTCAACACACAGTATTGGTGTCTGAAAAGCTCTCGAGCGAAAGCCCTGCTCTAACTTGAAGCTATAATATGCTGTTTCTGTTCTCGCAGAACAGATTTGTTTGGAACAGCCTATTCAGGAGAACACATCTCGCTGCAACATGCACGGTCCTTGGCCTTCAAAGGCACCCTTGTGCAAAGGGCGTGTTGCGTTAATTTGTTCAGCCAATTTAGGGTGTGTGGCATTAATTTGTTTGGCCAATTTGTTTAGAATCTGGCAGAGTGTAAGCACTGGGCTCGATGTCTGTGCATAATGCCTGTCTCATCTCTGCACCAGATCTCAAGGTTTACCACACGGTGCCTGGCCACACCTCCAAGTCCATGCTCAAAAGGAACAAAGGTAGGAAACGAGTTGCCCTCCAAAAGCTCCTTGTTGGGCATTTACACTTGGAACTGATTCCCAGCACTGGGAGAGAGCTTGTGTTTGAACCATTGTTCAGAATTGGAGCACCCATGGTCTTTGGTGGGAGCTCTGCTCCCAGACATCCAGCACTGGGCTTTACAGTGAGTTACTGATGAAAATCCTTATCTTAATATTTTGGCTGCACAGTCCTCAAGGCCTGGAATAAGAGCTGGTTAGAAAGACTGCAACATTTTCTCTCTTCCATTAAAATTCCATTCTCACAAAAGAGTGCAATACCAGCCAGCTTTCTTCAGAATTTAGGCTATATGTCCTGAGACTTGTGCTGTCATTCTGGGAGCACATTTGTATTCTATGCAAGATGGAGCGAATTCATGGAGCACAGCTTTTGTTTGACCTAAGGAAAGCCAGAATTTAGCCTGGGCATCTACGCTGGTGGATGTAACAGAGAGGAGCAAGAAAAGGTACCCAGCCCAGGTCTGTGTGCAACTGGACCTTCACGTACACACATGGTGAGCTGTGGTCAGACCATGGTGCAGCATGAGAATGGGTGAAGTTTGTCATGAAGCCCTCATAGAGTGCTTTTGGAAAAGGGGTGTGAATTAGCCAGAGAGAGAGCCGGGTCTCACTGATGCAGGCTGTAAGATGTCTGTTTTCCACAGCACATTTGAAGTGCTGAAAAAAGCAGGCATGCAGGAGTGCTCACGTTTCCAGGAACAGGACTGCATATTTCAGTGCGTTAAGGATACTCACGGGTGACCTACAGTGAGCTACACGCTGTGCAATCTAAAGCCAAGGGCTTTATGTCAGGCTTAGAGATTCTGAATGGTAACGCACTTTTCAAAGAGCCTCGAAGTAATTAGCCTTTCGCTCCAAGTTGACACGCTTACACTTTTAATATCAAGAATAAGGAAAAAGACTAAGGCTTCTAACCTCAAATCCATAGCAGCTTAGGCACTTTCACCTCACAGGTTTTGTTATGACAGCTCTTTGTTTGGCTGATAGTGAGTGGTGTTTTGAATAGAAGTGCTTTTGCTGCCTGCTTTGCTACTTTCCCGTAATAAGGGGGGACTTGGAGGTTATGCAGCAAGGTGCTAATTGACATTAACACTCAAGACAGGAAATGCTGACACAATTTAAAATTAACATCCTGTCAATATACTGCTGACCTGTGTTAAATGTGTGCTTTGTCAAACTTTCAGAATTAGATTTTAATACAAAAACAGCGTAACGCTGGGAGCCTTGCTGGTCCTGAAAAGGCTGAATTTAATATAGTGAGAAGTCACCCAACCGCTTTCCATTTTAGCTTATCTTTTCTCGAAGAGCGAAGCCTTTCTTAGCCAGAGAGAGGTTGAATATATGAAGTAGCCTAAAAGAGCTAAAAATGTATTTGTTAGTAATCAGACTAAAATTTTCTTACAGTTCCCTGTTGTAATGTTGCCTTACCAATGACTGAGTCCTAGAGGTGGATTTTTCCAAAGGTTGCAGTGCAGATATAGCAACTTACATCCAACTAGGCTGTTCTGGTGACCACCTCCATTTGGCCTTGCGCAGCATCACATCTTGATCTCTTCTGTTTCTGCATTCAGGCCTTAATCTAAAGCAGGTGGGAACAGAGAGAGGTGGTGTGGGGCCATCCCTACCCCCTTGCTAGCCCATGTTTTTGTGCTTTGAACAGAGCTAGGGAATAGCTACATGCTCTAGAAAGATTCTCACTTTGTGGATGGTATTGCTGACTGGATTGCATCCATGAGTTGCCCCTCTGGCTGCTCACAGAAAGCTGTAGTGGGACGGCACAGCGAGCAGCCCAGTCCCCTCATAGGAACTGATGGTGCTGCTCAGTCAGCTCGAGGTTGGGGCCCTTGCTCGGGGAGGATGTAAGGGCATCAGTAGGGATAGTGCTGAACAGGAGAAAACAGAGCACGCTTGGGTGCAGTCTGATCTGTGGAGGAGGCTGTTTGCTGAACATTAATCAGAGGTTGTCCCAGGCATTAGGAACAGCAAGAAACAAGGCACAAAGCCAAGAAAAGGTGATGAAGAAAGAGGAAGCAATGTGAGGAGGAGATCGGGCTGCGTGGCAGGAGCAGGAGGTGGAGCAGGGCAGGTTGAAAGCAGAGGTGTTGCTGAGGGCAGCCCTGTGCAAGTGTGGAAATGTTTCAGGAAGGTGGTGCAAGCTGCATATCACTGTTGGCAAACTTTCTCTAAGAAAACAGTAAGTGGGTGGCCCATTGCTGTGTGTGCTTCCCACTGATGGCTCCTGGGAGCAGGCCAACGTTGTGTGTTTCAGTTAAGGTTACAGTGAGACTGCCAAAATGTTGTCTGTAGTGCTGGTTCTGCAAATTATTTGCACAGGGCATCTATTGCCGTTAAGAACTGAGCACTCCAAAAGGCGGCTGCTTCAGATCCTGTATGGGAAATGGGAAAAGTGCTCCGGCAATGAGACGGGGCCTGATGCAGAGCTTTGGAGCTGCTGCCACACCAGGGGGAAGATCTGCAAAGCAGCCGCTGGGTGCTCTCATCTGGTGCTGCTGAGCGCTCTCAGGGTGGCTGCTCTGTTCTGGTGTGGGACAGAGGGAACATTTTAGGTGAAATGTGCTTCCAAGGACTGGATCTTTGCTTTCAGTTGTAAAGTGACTCTTGGAGCAAAATAGTCACTGTCAGATGCGGCTTTTTGCTCTGCAACAGTCTGTGCCTCTCTCCCTCCCTGTGAAAAAAAAAATAAAATAAAATTGTGCAAAATCCATTGATTTTTAGAAGAGGAACTATCATGGTCATACTGTGCTCTCAGGAAGGAAAAGAATTGCCTTCCACCACAAAATGTTTACATTGGCTGCCAAGGTTTCTCCTGATTTCCTCTGTTGGGAATGAATAATTAAGGAGTTAACTGCGAGGTGAAAAAGGCCTCTATGTGTTTAAGTCTAATGTCACAGCTTCCCAAGGACAAAGCTTCTAGCACGCAGAAAGGTTTCTCTGTCAAGCAGATGAGTTCAATAACTAAGCGAGATGGCAAGAAGAGGAGTCAAAGCAGAGAATTCCCAGTAGGAAGCTTTTAGTATGCACTTACGGCAGGTACTGCATGAAATGGATGTAGAGCGCACATATGTGGGACGCACAGGCAACACACATAAGGTGTTAATAGTCCAAGCTGATGCCAAGGAAGAAAGAGAGCAGACAGGGTCAGCTACTGTTTCCTGAGCTAAATGTTCCTTTTCTTATGGTGGTCAGAGCCAGGGGTAATTTTACAATGTGCAAAACATGCTCTTGTAATTAAAATGAAACTCACACTGACAGAGAAAGGGGATGGTGAATGTTGACCTCACATGCTACATCTGTAGAGCGTTTGGGGACACGTTCCTTTAGCAGGAGCGATGCTGGCTTTTGATAGCCTTTTGTAGTGAAAGGTGGGCAGGAATAAAGTTCCCTGTTGATCTGTATGCACGGCGTGAAGCCATTTCTCAGGAGAAGGCAGTGCTTCACAGCACAGAACTGCCCAAATGCAGTTTTTTAATTTCCATTCTTCTCTTTGGAAACAGGGGTGTTGCCAGTGCTTGTAGGCAGTAGAAATTAAAGCAAAAAAGTAAATAAAAGAAACGGGCAGTTGGCAGGTTTTAGCTGTCTGTTCTGCTGAGTCTCTGCTGCCGGGCCTTTCAGTGCAGTGTATGCGTAGCTATTTAAGCAGGCAGGTCCCAGTGCTTCTTACTGGGGCCTGTAAACCTGCCCTTCTGGAATGGGACTGGATATGGGAGCCTTTGAGAACTTCAGCTGTGCTGTAACACACCATAGCTATTAGTGGGGGCCCGCACAGAGCACTGTGGTCGCCTGTGTCCACCCATCCTCCACGGCCAGCTGGGATCTCAGCTGCGGTGCACTGCATTGTCAGGAGCTCTTCTGCTGGCCTGGAGACATCTCTGCTCAGGTCTTCTGAATTAAAGATTCCAGGAGACAGTGGGAAAATCTGCTCCCGATCCTCCTAGACTTTCTAACCTCCTGCCCCAGCCAAACAATCAGCAAGTATATCATCTTGTGCTGAGACAAGGTCCTTTAAGAGGCAGAGTGCTCTGCCTTCCACGCATGAAAGGTTAATTTAGAGCACGTGGTACCTGTGCACACTGAGCAAATGGAGAGCTGGAGGGATTCTTTTTATCCCTCCCATTCCCTTCACGTTGGCTGGAGAGTGCAGGTTGAACGTGTGACTTCTCGTTCCGGGGCAGCTCTCCATCACCCGAGCCCTTTGTCAATTCACCAAATGTGACAATTACAGCATTGCAGAGATGAGACTTTCTAATCCTATTACTCATTCATCAACCTGCGGATGATAGCAGAAGCCAGATCGAACAGTGCCAAAAGAGCAGTGAGGAGCCTTCTCCAGTGCTGTGAAACTAGGCTTAGCTCAGGCACAATAGGTGTGTAATTTAAGGTTTTGTTGAGCTGAAATCCAATCACATACTTGACTGGTAGATCACAGAAAGACACAGACAAAAAGAATGAGATAATTCTACCTCACACAAACACTTGAATCCGGCTTTGACTTATTAACAAGTGTGTGATCAACCTTACACTGTTTCTTTCTTCTTTTTTTTTTTTTTTTTTTCTTTCTTTGAACCTAGAGATGGGATGGGACTGAAATGCTTTCACCTACTTGGGTATCAGCCAGTAATTGAAAAAAAAAAAGATACTAGAAGGTAACGGAGGAGCTCAGACATAAGTGGAGAAAGTACAGGTGCTTATTTTGTGAAAGATTTGAAAATATACCTTCTAGGCTTAGCTCTGTGTTATCTTGTCAGCATCTGGTACCTATTGCTTTCTCAATGATGGAGAGAATGTAGCACATAGGAGAAGAACAAAGCTGAAAAAGTAAAACCTTCAGTAGAGGAGAGATAACAGTGTGATCCTTACTGCTCTCTTTCTTGCAACTAAACTACTCCTTTTGCTTTGTCTTCTTTCAGGCATGTGCTGCAGTTGTCAGAGGAGTGGTGGGGGATCTCAAGGGTGTGCCATGCGGCTGCCACCACAGCCATGCAGCACTGCCAGAGGGCAGTGGAAACGTGGAGGTGAGGAGGGAGTCTTAAATTCTGCCTTTTGTGAAAGCAGCAAGGTGGATGCTCTCTTTTCTGCGTTTAAAGAGGCATCTTTTAATTAGGCAAGTGTGTAATTTAAATTCACTCCTCTAAAAGGCAGCGTTCAATACAGCCTGCTCTAGCATGGCCTTTATACATTGACAAAATAAAGCACAGAGCACGTTAAATGCTTTGGCAGGAAAGCCCTCTGCAACAGGCACATTGATAATGGTGACAGGCATAAATGTAAGTCCTGTTTTTCCATGTAGTACAGCAGTCCAACCCCTTTGGTCAAGTGTAAGTCTTCTATCAAGACCAGACTTGAAAAAAAAAAAAAACCAACCACGTTTCTACTGTTTTTTGTATCTGCCTTGAGCTCTTCAAAATAACAAGCTTTTGCATGTGGAATTAATGGTACATGACATCTGGTATTACCCTGTGGGTGTTGTGACCTGGATGCTCAGGAATACAGGCACCCCAAACTAGAATAAACATGAGTATGAGCTCACTGCTAGGAAGAATGACATAAAGGTTTAACGACTCAATTGTGGCAGAGGACTGAGTGCCCTGGTGTGATGGTTGAAAAAGCTCTCTTTAAACTTTGCCTATCAAAAAAATGCCTTCAGGGCATGCAAACTGATGTGTAAAGCGCCAAATGCAGTGGTCACTAGTGTGCAGTCAGCACAGCATAATGCATTGCTCAAATGTAAACTAGTTGTCAGAGAAGTCTGCAGCAACAGGTATGCTCACAGTGCTTGTACCAAAAGAAAGGAACCAGGCTGGGGTACAAGTAATGCAATGATGGGGGAAAATGTAACAACAACAAAACACAAGGACCTATGGAGCTCAGAGGGATGAACAGGAAGTGTGGGGGAATCCTGGGGATCAAAAAGCTGAAATGAAACTTGGCATTAGTCTTAAGAGATCAGGCAATGTTTTCTTAAAAACAAACAAAACAAAAGACAAAATGATGAATTTATAAGATCCTAGACTTGAAAGCATACAGAAAAACAGCCTTAGTGGAAAGATTCTTCTTCTTCTTTTTTTTTTTTAAATAAATGAATTAGTGGGGGAAAATCCCTCAACAATCCAACTGATATTCAAACATGAAGAGACTTTCAATAATTTGTAGGAATATGGGAAGATTCAGATACGTTCCAAGCAGAGTAGAGAAAAAATAAGATATCCACAGCCCAGTGTAATCTTAGAAGCTCAAGTTGGAGTCTGACTTGCTTCCCAAACTACAGAGATCTCATAAACAGAGAGATTTCATTCAGCAGCATAAACTCTGACATTTGACCAGACGGTTGCCTTGGGGACATTAGCTAAAATAGCCTCAGATTTAAAATTGAAATATGAACTTCTGAAGGCTTTGGTAGTTGCTTTCCGGTGCTACTGAGACAACCAGTAGAAATATTGGCTGCTGGATACTTCAGCATCACTAATTTAGGAAGAAACTGGTGATCTGCAGATACTTTCATCCTGCGGTGTTCTTTCTCATTGGTCAGCAGATGCAGGTAGCCCAGCTGTCTTTCCCCAGTGCTGGGACAGGAGTAGTTTCACATCTCTTCTACTTGTTATCAGGAAGCCAAACAAGGAGCTGGTTGGTGCTGCATAACACTTAGTGTGTTGGGATGGTGGTGCTGCCCTGTGTGTGTGGCAGCCACAGCAGTTTATCCCAGGAAGGCTGCAGCAGCACAAATGCAGCTGTAAGTTTGCCTACCAGTGATCTGGGGGCTGCAGGTGCTTGATGGGAGATATTTGTTGTCACTGAGCCTGTGCTGAATCAGGAGGGGAAGGAGGAAACTGCGTTCAGTACATTCTGTGTAACTACATGTGTTAATGACCTGTGCCTGCTGGGGTGTAAATGTGTGCACAGTTCAGTGCTTCAGGTGCTCCACAGACATGCACGCTTATTGCTGCTGTATTTTTAATACAGCTCTTTTTGTGATACTCTCTGGCTCCAAATTCCTACCCAGAACTGACAGGGAGTAAATATTTTGTTGTCAATTGCTTCAGGATGTCCTAGAGGGACAAGACTGGTACTGGTTTGAGTTTGCCTCAGACAAGTGCACCTGCATACACCCCTGAACCAGCTTTCCTTTAGCTACTAAACCAGCAGCTGGGACAGCCAGGTAATTTTCCTGTTTTTGTGCAATCAAATAAAGACAGTGAGCTAAACTAACTTACTGATTGCTCTCTCTGAGCTTCAAGTAGTTTTCTTTGTATGCTCCCAATACAACAAGAACTTAAGGAGCTTTTTGGACAGGACCATGCAAGAGCAACTGTCCCTTCTGCAGCCCAGGGAGGACCTGTGCTGGAGGAGGAAGAGGACGATGTTCTGTGCAGGAACTGCAGCCCACAGGAGTAGGGTTATCCTGAAATGCTGCAGCCCACGGAGGACCTTTTCTTTGTTTTTCCCTTGGTTCCTTGTCAAGCTCTAAGAAAAGTTCTTCAGGGCCATAGAACTGGGGGCAGACTTAGCCTCCAAGGAATTCTAGCAGCGTCTCTGTAAATCCCAGGCTGTTGCTCAACAAAGTTGAGTGAGGATGATGGTTGAGCATTTCTCATCTTAAGGAGCTACGGTGGCAGCTGTGGACGGCTCCTGCGTTCTGGGTGTGCTCTGAATAACCTCTCTCACTATGGTTCACATTAGAAATTTTGATGATCTGTCAGGCGGCTGCTCCCCTTCTCTTGAGCTATCAGGGTTGCAACACTCTGTAGAAGTCATTTGCTTGCCAGCGGTACCGTTAGCCCTTTGTGAACAATTAAGCTGAGGTCAGAGGTTGTAATATATCAAATTTGCGGACCGTATTAAATTTTATTTTTACTGAAAGGAACTTTTTGTCTCTTTTATCAGGAGGAAAATTAAGCTGTGAACTGGAATTCCATCAGGCTGTCTGCTGTGAAGCCCTGTGGCTTTAGCAAACAGGCAGCAGTGGTCAGAAATGACACTGAAAAGGTAAATTTATTTCTTTTTTATTAAAAAGGATAAGTTATGACCTGTACAGTATATCTTTGAAAAGGAGAGAACTTAACACAATATGCTGTATTTTCCCACTTCTTTCAAACGATGGATTTTGCCCTGTATGGAGCTGTTCTGGATGAGAAGGAAGGGGTGCTGAGCTGGGTTGCAGCCGTGGGGTGCAGGTGTACCCACCTTCTTTGCCTGCTCCTTCTCTCACCAAACCCTTTAGCAGTTTTGCCACTAATTTCTAGGAACTGGATCACTTTCAAAAGTTCTGTACAAACTTGCTGTCTGTGTGAATTTTTTTGCCATTCTAAAGAAATTTTATTTTAAAACGTAAGTACAGTGAAACCCCTGGTCACACCCTGCCTTTCAGAGAGCAGACAATTCTAGTATCCAAACACCTAATTCCCAGACAGGCTGGCTACCCAACCAGGCTGACTGTGCCTTTGGCCTCTCCAGGGTTGCATACTGTAGAGGAAGGATTGCCTTTTGGGTCTGAGCATGCAAGCATGTGCTTGTCCTCTTCATCTGGGTATAAAATACCTCTTTCTGCCTTGCACAAATATTAAAATATATGTGAAAACTTCAGGAACCTGCGTGCTGTTTTTGCAACTTGCTGTGTTGCCTGCAGTTGACTGGCTGTGGTTTGCAGGCAGACATGTTTGATTTGGAGCACAGTGGCTGATGATAACAAGTTAGGCTGCAGAGCTCCTACAGCTTTTTCATTTTTCTGAAGGATTAAGGGTTTGCCCTGCTATATTTGTTGCTTGTTTCTCCTCTTTTGCTGTACAGCTTTATGTTCGGCTCATCCATATTTCCTGTGTTTCCATCCTAAAGAAGGCAGAATTTCAACAGCAAAGAAAAGGGATGCAGTTGTGCTCTGTATAATTTGAATAACACCCTGTGGGATGAATTGTGCAATTTTAATATTCATTATCTCAAATGTATACAATAGAATAGACTGTAGTAGGGAAGACTGATTAGCAGATCACTGAAGATAGGTTTTTTCCTCTTTTTTTTTTTTTCCTTTTATACTTGGCCATTGCTTGGTGATAAGCAAGTAAAACATTTTATCAAGACCTGAATCTTTGGTATTCAGAAATGTAATGCAGTAATCATTCTTCAGTAAACGTATACACGGGAGCCCAAGAGCCATGGACAGAACATATATAAGTCTTAGGCCTTAGTGATGAGCAGCCCAGGCCAAGAGATTTCTGTTGCTCCCTTAACTCTAAATGAAAGGCAGGCTCTGAAGGGAGAGGGGAGCATGCAATCAGGAGCATGCAAAAGTGAATGGTAATGCTTTAATTATCATTCTATTGTTATTCTTCCTTTTTAGCAGCTTGGAGGTTGTGTAGTTTGCATATTCATTCCTTTAAATCTCACAAAGGTTTTGTTGTTGGCAAAAGTTTGACTGTAAAAAGAGGGCAAGCTTGTCATTAATAGGCTAGAAAGGAAAGAAGGAAGAAGAGCTGTTTACCCCAGCTTCAAGATTTCTGTGAGGGGAGGATCCAGGGTGGGTACTGTTTTTGGAAATAGAGATACTAAGATGTTTTTTTTTCAATAGGCAAGCACGAGTGTAATCACTTCTGGTAACTCACTTTGGGAGTGTAATGGAACTTAGCCCAGTAAAAAACTCATCTAACTATCACCCAGTGAACTGATTGTTGTAAAGGCTACAGAATTTGCCAGTGTCCTTCAAGAGAAGCTTTCCAAGAACTCATTTTGTTAAAATCTTCAGTGAAATACAGTTCTATGTACTGAGTTAATTTCTTTGCCATAGAAGGAATGTATTCACAATATTTCTATTGGTTTCTTTTCAGAAAGTTACAAGTAATTTGTAGAGGACTTCCAGCTCCTGTGAAAGAAGATGCTTTTGTTCTGCGACAGTCTTCACATCTAACGAGGTAATATGACCTTCTTGTAGAAATGCTATCACAACTGCAGCTGCTTTGATTAGTTTATGTCCTCCTGTCATGCATTATTCTCATTACATGGGCCCTTCTCCAGGTTTCGTAACAGTACTGATGAGCGTGTGCTGATATAGTGGGTAAAGTTGTAGCATCTTCCATCTCCATAACTGTTTTGAGAGGAAATGGGATTCTGCTTCTTGTGCTGAGGTCAGGCAGTGTTAAAGGTCTTTTTTCAAGCTTAAGCCAAGTGTGGTTATTGGGAGACGCACGTGTACTGGAGCAGACTGGGGTGATACATAGGCAGAGGCTGAAAAAAAGAAAAGATTAAGGATGATTTGAAGAACGTTTTCTGTGAGTGCAGAGTTAAAGCCTTTGCAATTGATTCAGGCAGCAGCAGTTTGCCTTTGGTGTTTGGAATTATGGTGTTCTGTGCACCTACTGCACATGGTCAGGGAGCAGGAGGAGCCCATGGCAGGCTCTGCTCATATAAGCTCTCTCCAGCTGTCATTGCAGGTACTGAAAAGTGAGTCCCCATTACAAGTGTTTCCCACTGTTGGAAGGTGATGTGTAGTGACAAACAGGGTTGCCAAGGGTGAGCAAAGAATAGACTGCAACAGTCAATAAGTATATTTTTCCATACTTATATGTAATGTATTGTAACATGGCTGTACTTGCCCATTTGCTGTTTTTTTCCTTTTCCCTAGCCTATGCTGTCTCCAGGCCTGAGAACTTTGTGTTTCTGTTGCCTTCTGTCTCTCAGTGATGGTATAATGACAAACCAGTTCTTCTCCTTCCTGGTTGATGAGTAGGGTTTTTTGGTTTTGTTTTTTGAATTGTTAAAGAATGCCTAGCTTTTAGCTATTAAATATATTTGGTGATTTTTACAACAGATTCTCCACTACTTTCTTGGTGCACATGATTGTCAGGATCACTAAAGGGAAAATGTGAGACTTTCCATGCTTTCTGCTAATGTGCTTGTTTCATAATGAAGCTTGAAATGGTGGATTTTTGCTCTGCACGCAATCACAAAACACCAAGAGCTCCACTAAAGTAAACTAATTTGGGATAATTTGCATCAGTTGAATTCGTGGCCCTGTTGACGTTATCATGCCTGCTGGTGAACAGACACCAGCTGGGGTGATGCTATTTCATACCCATGTGGAGTAAGAATGGCCTCTGGGGGTTAGAATGAAAGTGGAGGATGACTACTGCTAGCACAGGTTATGAATGAGCTGTCTGAAGTATAATAAGAATGAAATAAAAGGCAAGCTCGCCATAACACAGTGAGATGCAGCTAAAAGGATGTGAACCTGGTGAAGTTGCTGCACTTCATGTTGCCATAGAGGGATCGGAGCTCAGAGCAGCTCCTCCAGCCCGTCTGTGATCAGGGATGGGAAAATTCTCACATGCCCTCAGGTTTTCAGGTCAAACTGAACTGCTTAGGGGCTGTACCTCAAAGCCACATGGAAGCGCTGAATACTGCTGAGCAAAATGCCCTGTTTCTCAGGTGGAGCTGGCAGGAACCAGTTCCTCAGCAGCTGCGTTGGTTTTCTATTTGCATTTGGATGAAAATCAAGAGGTTTCTTTTTCTGTGTCAGACTTTGAATATAACCCTCCTCCCTTCGGCTGTCCTAGCTCTTACATGTTGATGCAGTTCACAGTACTGTAGCTACCTGGATCTAGGCTTTTGTTTCAGGTGACTTTTACTATAATATTCTCCTTGGGACGAGTCTTGCTAGAGGCTCAATCTCCCCTCCAGCCCTGAGGAGGAAACATCTGGTCTCTCTGGCACAGTGGAAGCTTCTGGGATTGTCATTTTGTTTGGCATGAGTGAAATAGCCATAAGATTTGGTATGCATTTTTAGTATGTTGCAGCTATGCTCCTTGAGCCAAAGGAAGACAGTTTATACAGGAAGAAAAAGAACATTTTTACTCAGCTTTTTGTCATACTCTTCATTAGTAATATTCAATAAAATAAAACCTTATAAATGCTCAATTCAGCTGCTGTTACAGTAAGAACAGAATTGCTATTGAATTTAACGAGGTCAAACTGGGGCTCCAGAGGAAGGTAATGCAATGTTTAGTTCCATCTCGCTCCTCGTTGCCCAAAAGAAAGCTGGCCAGCTGTGAGATGGCGATTCAAGAAGGATGGCTGTGCCTCAGGATCCATTGCTCCAGCTGTATCAGGCTGTTCTGGCGAGCCAGAGGTTTGTGCTCTCCAGCCCAGGGCCAGGGAATTACAAATGTGTACAGAAATAGAAGCCAGAGTTCAGGGTGAGGACACACTGCAACAAAGCCTATTGGAGTGGAGAATCGTAATAAATGGCATGAAGAAAGCATGATCACTTCAAATTCTTGCCAAATGTGACTTGTCACTTTTTTCTTGGGAATATGGCCTTACTATAAAAAAAAAAAAAAAAAAGAAGCTGGTGATCTCTTTGGAATTAAGGGTTTAGGATATGTCATGGGGAATTAGACATGGGCCTCCCATTAGCAAGAATTTTGACCTCCATGCATAGCTCTGAAAATCAATCCTATCTCCAGCCTCAGTTGTGTTTTTATTTCAACTGAGGAACAGGCATAGATATCACTGAGAAGGAGAGTAAATCTCATGATTGGAAACTTCTGATGTCATTTTCAAGTGCGGTTATAAAACTGAGTGATGACATGTAGATGTCCGCACCCAAAATATTTACAAATCAAACTGTGTGGGTGCCTAGTTTTTATGGTGGCAATAAAACGTTGCTTAGTATTTCCTGGTAAGCTTTTAGTACTGAGTAATTACTATTAAACAGATGGAGAAACAGGGCACTGTAGCAGAGTTGAGAGTATTTTTCATAAGCCTTGCATTTTCCCATGGGCTTTACAGTGTCTTGACTGCTCTTCTTAGTCCCCTTCACCAGTGTTTATCATAAGCATGTGCTTTTGGCAAGTAGCTCCACTGAGGTCCGGTCAAGTGATGATGACACTTTGAAATCAACAGGAGCATAAGGTGGCAGTAACACATAAGTAAAAAATAATCCCACTGAGCTGGGATTTGCAACATTGTGCTTTGAGTCCCACTGCAGCATGGGGTATGATTTGGATTCTCTCTGCCTCAATTTCCCTGTATGTAAACAGCAGTGATCCTTTTGACGAGGGAGGGTCTTTTGCCTTCTGAAGAAGAGAAGTGCTGTGAAAAGCCTTGCTTGCTATTATGCATATATTGAAAACAAAACCTAATCAGTGCTTTGCTAGGTTGGGGATGAATGTGTTTAGCAGTTCTTTTGATCAAGCTGTAGATTACTTAGGCAGTGGTTTGTAATAAGAGCCTTATCAGTAACAAAAACCCTTCTGTCATCCTCAGACAAGCAACAATCATGTTCTAAAATGGTTGCCAAATGTGTTTATTTGAAGATGGTTGTTTCTAGCATAGCTGAAACCATTGTGTGGCGAGAGTTCAATTGCTTCCTACTAAAGCCAACATTCATAGCTTGGAAAACTGTTAGATAAATGTCAGTTTCTGCCATAATTTGTGGAATCAATGCAAACTGAGTCAAAGAATCACAAACAGTAATGTGAAAATAAAATGATCTGCGTTATGGTTTTTAAGTAAATGATGATAAACTAATAAATGCCATTAGCTGCTGCCATTACTTTGTTGAATTTAGCTGATGTTACTGTGTTGACTTTAAAAGCTATCAGCTTAACTATATAAATCCATTTGACATGTCTTTATTCAGATAAAACTTTAATACTGCAAGTGTAGCAAATTAGATGCAAATGCTCTTTTTATTTTAAGTATATTTAAAGCTGCCTTTTCAATGCAAATTTTACAGGAAATCTCAACAAGCTAGGACAGACATCTTAGCTGTCAGCGTGCAGCACTTTCATTTCGGTCTCAGGCATGGGAGCTGCATTTTGTCCCTGCAGACTGAGATAATTAAAACTACAGAGAGATGGTTTTAAATATACATGATACACAGTTACTTAAACTGTGGGATAATGCATAAATGCGGTCCTTAACGCTTTTGATAGAGCAACGCCGACCGGACAGCATATCAGGAGATGGTAGGGAACACAATTCCTTTTGTGCAAACAGCTTGGTTTTATTTTTATTTTTCAGCTTCTCACCTGAATTGCTGTGGAAGCACAGAAATACCATTGCAAACGCAGGGTTGGGAAAGCCCTCATTAAAAAGATACTGATACCATTAACTTCTTTTTTTCTTTCCTTTTTTTCTTTTCTTTGTTTTGAGCAGCCCCTAGCCTCCTTGGAATACATATCTATTTCAGCTTTCATTTGCTGAACCCCCTGAATGAGTTTATCCAAACAATGTGAATTTACTCAGATCTTTTTAAAATCCCACATCTCTAGTGGTTGATAAAGCTGACTTTAGCTAAGAAGAGTTGGATCAGGGTGATTTAAATTTCACAGTGAAAATGATAAGGGCTTTACTAGAAATAATAAGCGCATTCAAATACTGTCATGGGCAAACAGTTGAATGTGCAGTGAGAAATTTGGCAAGGCTAGTCTTTCTCAGTGTTGATTTAATGAAGTAATGGATAGTAAAATAGAAAAAAAATATCCAGCAACTTGCATTCAGAGGTAAACTTATGTTAATTCCATATCAGTAGTTCTATAAAGCATCGTTCATTAAAAAGCAGCATTAATGCTCCAATAAAATTATTTAAAATGTCATGCTGTTTAAAAGCCACAAAACCCAACCAAACCACCAGCAAGGGGAGGAGCCTCTTTTGGCAGCCCTGCACCAGTGATGTCCAGTTGTTGGCATTTCCCAGGCCTTAGCCCGAGGAGAACACATGCTTCAGGGAAAGAAAAAGAGGAAGCACGTCCACGAAAGCTGTAGGGCAAACAGTGGCCCAGGTTGAAAATGGTTTTGAACACTAGCTTGTCCATTTAGAAACACAGATCCCCACCTTTCTTATTCAAATCTGTGGGAAACTGCACAGCCCCAAGTGCAGAGGTTCAGATCTGTGAATCCAGATGTGCTT